GGCCTTCACAGCCTTCTGTTGCAACAAGCTCCACAGATTCACCACCCTCTGGCTAAAGAAAGTTCTTCTTGTCTTAGTTCTAAAGGGTTGTCCCTTCACTCTGGGGCTGTGCTCTCGGGTCCTAGTCTCTCCTACTAGTGGAAACATCTTCTCCATGTTCACTCTATCCAGCCTCTCAGTATATTCTGTAAGTTTCAATCAGATCTCCCCTTATTCTTCTAAACTCCATCGTGTACAGACACAGAGTTCTCAACTGCTTCTCACATGACCAACCCTTCAACCCCGGGATCATTCTTGTAAACCTCCTCTGGAACCCCTCCAATGCTAGCACATTTTTCCTTATATACTGGGCCCAAAACTATTAACAATATTCCAAATGTGGTCTGACCAGAGCCTTATACAGCTGCAGCAGCACATCCATGCTGTTGTATTCTAGCCCTCCTGAAATGAATGCTAACATTATATTTATCTTTCTTCTGGCTATTTGGACTGCATGTTAACCTTAACAGAATCCTGAACCACGACTCCCAAGTCCTTTTGTGCTTCAGATTTCCAAAGCCTTCCCCATTTAGAAAATGGTATATGCTTTTATTCTTCCAACTAAAGTGCATAACATTACACTTTGCCAAATTGTATTCCATCTGCTACTTCTTTGCCCACTCTCCTGGCCTATCCAGTTCCTTCTGCAGACCCCCCATTTCCTCAACACTACCTGTCCCTCCACCAATCTTTCTGTTATCTGCAAACTTAGCAACTGTGCCCGCAGTTCCTTCATCAAGATTGTTAATGTATAATGTGAAGAGTTGTGGTCCCAACACTGACCCCTGTGGAACTCCACTAGTCACAGGCTGCAGTCCTGAAAAAGGCTCCTTTATCCTCACTCTCTGCCTTCTGCCAGTCAGCCAATCCTTTATCCATGCCAGTACCTTGCCTCTAACAGCACGGGCTCTTATTTTGTTTAGCAACCTCCTCTGTGGCTCTTTTTTAAAGGCCTTCCAGAAATCCAAATAGATCACGTCCACTGGCTCTCCTTTGTCCTGTCTAACTTGCGCATTGCCTCCTCAAAGAATTATAACAGATTTGTCAGGCATGTCCTCCTGTTTTTTGTTTTATTTGTTTTTTTTTAGTCTTCGACAAGTAAAAATTACAATATAGATCTGTTGTGGTGCATTAAATTCAGTGATTGCATTCATAATTAAAAGAAGCAAGGTTAAAATGAAACAGTAAAAATAACCCAAGGTGAGATGATCCTCAGCAGTCTTATGGTTGTCTAAGTGCAAATACTCAAACTAGCTGTAAATTGAAATTGCATTTTGAGAAACGGTCATTGTTTGTTTCCTCACCTCCATTAAACATTTTATGAATGGATGATCCAACTACCCTTAGGCCAACTGAAGTTCTTTATTGGTGAATTTATTCTTTCTGTTCCTTGTGACCTTTTATTAGTGGCAGATGATTATCTTACCACTGTGGACTACACTGACTCAGTCACAGTGGTTAGAAATACTACAAGACTGTTTTGTTTAAATGAAGTAGTTTGATTCACTAATGTTGAGAAACATGCTTCATTTTATATTATGTAAAGATGAGTTGGCCTGATTGAATTAAGAGTCTATACCCAATTGATATTCTGTATATTGTTGTACAGAGGGTGATGTGTATATGGGACGAGTTGCCAGGGGAAGTGGTGGAAGTGGGCACAATTAAAAGACAATTGACCAGGTATATGGATAGGAAAGGTTTAGAGGGATATGGGCCAAATGCAGGGAAATGATACGAGTTCAGTTTAGGAAAGCTGGTCGGCATGGTCGAGTTGGGCCAAGGGACCTGTCTAAAAAGAAATTTCCCAAGAAAACATTGCAGCCTCTCTGCTGGAATGTTCCCTTCTGCCCTCACACAGGGCAATCCATCATCTTGCTGGGGCCTACCTGACCGGCCCCAGTGAGCCCCAACCTCCCTCACCTCCATCTGATGCCTCCTTCATTGTGGCTGAGTTCAGTGCAAAGGGAGATAGAGGTGATTTAATCAAGGCTTCTGCAAGAAGTATACTCTCCAGAATGAGCGGTAAATAGGAGAAGAGGGAATCAGTCAAGTACAGGGAGGAAATAGGAATGTAATTGTTGTAGGGGACAGTATAATTAGGGTGACAGATATCATTCTCCACAGCTGTGAGCAGGAGTTCCGAAAGCCATCTGTCTAATGCCAGGGTTAAGGACATGCCCTCAGGGTTGGAGAAGAATCCAGTAGCTGTGGTATACATTGCTAGCAAAAAATTGGTAGGGCTAGAAAGGAGGTTTTGCTGAAAGGTTTTGAATAGTTAGCAGCCAGGTTAAAATGCAGAAGCTCCAAGCTAATATTCTCAGGATTACTCCCTGAGCTACAGGCAAGCAGACACCAGGCAAATAATACCAAAGAGTTAAATACGTGGCTCAAAGATTGGTGTGGGTAGAATGGGTTTCAGTTCGTGGGGAACTGGCACCAGTACCAGGGTAGAAGGGAGCTGTTCTTATGGGATGGGTTTCACTTGAACCATGCTGGGAGCAGTGAGCTGGCAAATCGAATAACTGGGACTGTGGAGATGTCTGTAAGCTAACTGTGTATCTGTGTCTATGCGTGTGTGTAAATACCGGCTTACAAAGGAAGAAGATATGGCAGCATTATACGCAAGTTATTTGAAGAGTGGGACAGAATATGCAAACAAAGAAAAAACAATAGTGAATAGGGTCAAAAGGGAAAAAAAGTATAAACAAGCAAAATTAATGGCTTCATGTTAGCTCTGGTGAGTCATCTAGACTCAAAATCTCTCCACGGATGCTGCCTGACCTGCTGTGATTTCCAGCATTTTTTGTTTCCAGTACAGATTCTAGTATCTGCAGTAATTTGCTCCGAACTGTTTTCAAAATTAATGGCTCTTTGCTTTAATGTGATGTGGGCCAAATGCAGTTCAGTTTAGAAAACCTGGTTGGCATGGTCGAGTTGGCCAAGGGGCCTGTTTCTGTGCTGTATAACTCTAAAACACCCTCAACAAGGGCATCTAAGCACAGGAAAGGCTGAGACAGATGGATTTTTAAGGGAATCAAGGTTAAAGGGAAAAGGCAGGAAAGAAGAGCTGAGGATTATCAAATCAGACAGGATCTCATTGAATAGTGGAGCAGATTTGATGGGCTGAGTGGCCTACTTTGCTTTTATGTCTTATGACCATGGCAGTGATGACAGCTTCCAGTGGTACTGCTGGGACTAAACAGCTGCAGGCCCTCTATATGGCCAGTAGCTTCTAAAAACGGGTGTAGTATTTGGAACAAAATAAATTAATGAATAGCACAAATATAAGTTAACAAGTATGATCTTATCTCCATACGAAGACATGGTTACATTTTGTAGGCACAATAGAGGTGTTGAGTATTAATTAAATGGAGAAAGATTGCAGAAAGCTGTAGAATAGAGGCACTGGGGAGTCCTCACTCATGAATGGCAAAAACTAGCATCTAAGTTCAGCGGGTAGTGGGGAAGACAAATGAAACATTGGCTTTTATTTCAAAGGGAATGTAGTATAAAAGTAGGGAGGTTTTGCTAAAAGTACACAAGGCACTCATCAGACCACAGCTAGAATACTATAAAGAGTTTTGGGCCCCTTATCTAGGAAAGATGTACTGCAATTGGAAGAAGTTCAGAGAAATTTCACTAGGCTTGTACTAATTATGAAGGGATTGCTTTTTGGGGAGAGGATGAGCAAGTTGGGCCCCTGTGCTGATTGGAATTTAGAAGAATTAGAGGTGACATTATTGAAACAGCAAAGATTTTTAGGGGGCTTGACAGGGCGGATTGGGAAAGGTGGTTTCCCCTTGTGAGAGATCTTACACCAGAAGATACAATCTCACAGCAAGGGAGTGTCCAGTCAGAACAGAGATGAGGAGGAATTTCTTCTTCAAGGGTAGTGAATCTGTGGAATTCTTTACCTCAGAGGACTGTTGAGGCTATGTCATTAAGTCCATTCAAGGCTGAGACAGACAGATATTTAAGGGAATCAAGGTTAAAGGGAAAAGACAGGAAAAAACAGTTGAGGATTATCAGTTCAGCCATTATCTCAATGAATGGTGGAGGCGATTTGATGGGCTGAGTGGCCTACTTTGCTTCTACGTTTTATGGCCCTATGACCATATCAGTGGTGACAGCTTCCAGTGGTACGGCTGGGACTGAACAGCTGCGGGCCCTCTAACTGGCTGGTAACTTCTAAAGGCAGGACATCCTGCCTTAGTGGATCAGAAAGCACAACCACAGACAATTGTAAAAGCAGGGCCAACTGAGGTTAAATTTCGTCTGACCTTCCAGCTGTTCATCACTACTCTGAGAGATTCAGGTCCTTAATTTGTGCTAATAGTAACCAGCACATGATTTCCTCCTTGTAAATGGTACACTTGGAGATATTTTAATGTGCCCTTTTCGAATTATGAAATGTTTGAAAATGCATACAGTACAAGTATCTCTTTTTCAACACTGACTTGCAGGTACAAGTGAAACTTGAATTAATAGTAACTTTTGAGCATATCTGCGTTAATGATGGGCATACTTGTACACAAGAATGAAACTGATGTTAAAACTTTCAAATACCTATTAGTTCCTCACCTTTGCGGCAAAATTGGAATAATGCTCTTACTTTCCGGCACTCATGTACACACACAGTGTTGCATTTACACTCTTTGAAGAAAGACACTCTTATACACAGACTTACAACAACAAAAGGGAAAACTTGCATGCTTCAGATTCAATTTGTCAGTCAAGCATGCAAACAATGACAGCAAGGCAGACAGTTTCATGAAACTGATTAACTATTTGAACAACATTGCCCCACAGTGGCTAGAACCTGATAATGGATCACAGTAACTAGAAATGAATACGATGTCTTGGCAACATGGAAACAAATAAAACAATGCTTCAATGAGCACAAGCAAATGCCACTACGACAGCTGACTAAAAAAGCAAGTTACTACAGTGAATGTTACCTGGGAGCTCAGAAATTGTCTTGACATGGGTACAAGCCTTAGCATCATCTCCTGTAACTACCTGTCCTAGTAAATAAAAAAAGTTATTTGCATAGGCAGGACTAATTGTTTTATGCCACTTTAAGTTTTGCCCTTTTTAAAAAATATACTTTGATTCTTGTATAATAAATTCAAAGGGGAAAAAAAAAACTGAAGCTGCTTTTGTAAGAGTGCGGAACACTAATAATCTACAATATATAAATAAAGCTAAGCAACATATCAACTACCTATGAGAAAAAACATATTTTGCTTTTGCAACTCAGATAACTGTTGATTGTAACGGTTACAGGATTGGGTTTTAACTTGCTGAACCTTCAGAAGTGCCAACATTAACTTTTTATGTGCTAATTATTAAGATCCAGCCTAGAATATGAGTTTTTTTTTAAATTCATTCGTGTAACATGTGGGTCACTGGTTGGCTAGCATTTATTGTCTGTCTCTAGTTGCCCTCAAGAAGGTAGTGGTGAGCTGCCTTCTTGAACCGCTGCAGATCATGTGCTACGGGTAGACCCACAATGCCCTTAGGGAAGGAATATTAATATTGTCATAATGCGTGGTCATCCACCGCAAGATATAGAAATTGTTATTTGAAGCCAGATGTAAAAATTCTATTAATACATTGTATTTGTCCTAGCTCTTATTTCAGTGTGGCACAATCCTCCATGAAATGGCTGGAGTGATTTAATATGATTTCATAGAAGTTACTAAGGAGCTACATAGCATGCACGATATAGTAGCAGAGTGTCACTTGTAAAAAATCTAACAGTCCTGGATATACTACTAACATGCTTGCTTCCCAAATTACCAAGGGAACCTACTTTGGAGACTTTTTTTGAGAAATATAAAGATAAATCAATCCAGGCTGAGTCTGGTAGATGTTGTTGCTATACCTGACCAAATCTACAAGAAAACGTCATTTGCGATTATACGTAAAACTCTTTGAACAGTCCACCTGTACATCTAAGCATATTAAGGCTGGTTTTTGAAAAAAAAGATTTTGATTCGCTTAGATACAATTCCTAAATTTGACTTTAGTTTTAGGGAATTAGGACACTTTTTTTAATAACGTCGATATCATTGCTCTCGAGAGAAGCAACAAAATTGATGGCCAATGCTCAGTGAACAAAATATGACAAATTCACGCCAAAGGGTTTGTCTAGACAATTACCTGACAAACCATGAAGCACAGAACTCCAATGAAATTGACACAAATATTTAAAATATTTTCTCAAACTTACCAGCAGCCATTATATTAAACAAAAGGAATAAAGCTTCACTGCATTTACTCCACTTTCTATGGAATTTTTCCTTGAAAATGGCTGGAGACAGAACAACTGCCCTTATACCTCTTCAATTGCCACCATTCAGAGTTCCAACATTCTTTCAAGATGAAACAGCAACTTTCTTGAGTTACTTCCAAGTTGATTATCGTATTTTCTGTTCACAATATGGCCTTTTCTACAGTGGGAGACCCAACCCAGGTGTTATCCAGAGCTTCCAGTTGCCTGTCAGTTTAATCCTTTGTCCCAGTTTAACCTCTCTGTGCTCAGTATATTACACTGTTCTAATGACATTCAATGAAATCCTGGGAAATAGAACTTCATCTTTCGATTAAATGCTTCACAGTCTTCCTAATTCAACACTGAGCTCAACTATTTCAGACCATAATTTTCTATAATGAACAGACCTTTCTTTCCAGTCATTCGCAACTCCTTCAGATGTACCTTTTGTTCTGATGAAAGGATATTGACCTATTGACCTAACTTATCTTCTCCACAAATACTGCTTGATCTGCTGGGTATTTCCCAAATTTTCTGGTTTTACTTGTATCTTGTTTCTGTTTCTTGTTCAAATATAAATAAGGTTTGGGAGATCATAGAATCCTTACAGTGTGGAAACAGGCCATTCAGCCCAACAAGCCCACACTGCCCCTCTGAAGTGCATCCCACCCAGTCCCATTCCCCTACCCTTTCCCTATAACCCTGCATTTTCCCATGTCTAACCTCCCTAACCTAAACATCCCTACACACTACGGGTAATTTAGCATGGTCAATCCACCTAACCTGCACATCTTTGGACTGTGGGAGGAAACCGGAGGAAACCCACACAGACAAGGACAGAATATGCAAACTCCACACAGACAGTCGCCCAAGGCTGGAATTGAACCTGGATCCCTGGTGCTGTGAGGCTGCAGTGCTAAACACTGAGACACCGTACCGCACATTGCTCATTCTAGATAGTGTGGTGGTTATGTCACTCTGATTATGAGTGTAAATCTTGTGAATGGGAATTCAAATTCCAGTATCAAAGCTTGGAATTTTAACTCTGCAAATTTGTAAGAAGTTATTGGGTTACTGTAAAAACCCATGTACCTACTGATGCTTTTGAGTGAAGGAAACTTGCAGTTGTAAATTTATTAATTTTTAACTGTCCTCTAAAAAAGCCTAGCGAATGGCTTAGTTGCATTGAAAACACTGGCAAAGATACAACCAGTAATGGTCGATAATTGCCATTCATATCTTCTTAAAGGGTTTTTTGTTTTTAAATCAGGAACTGAGGAACATTAAATTCAAAGTTTCCATGAACAGGCAACACATGGAATATATAGATAACAAGGTCCAGAGCTGGATAAACACAGCAGGCCAGGCAGCATCAGAGGAGCAGGGAAGCTGACATTTTGGGTCTGGACCCTTCAGAAAATCAGACCTGAAACGTCAGCTTTCCTGCTCCTCTGATGCTGCCGGGCCTGCTGTATTCATCCAGCTCTACACCTTGTTATCTCAAACTCCAGCATTGGCAGTTCCTACTATCGCATTGAATATATACTTTTCCTTCTCCTGAAGAGTTGAGAGGGAACTTCTTGCCTGTACTGTTAAGATCACTGTTGTACTTATGCAAACAGGACAGGGCAGTATCCTATATTATTGCAGAATACATTTTACATTAAATGCCTTTGACTGACTTTTTCAAAAGGAGGAAAAGGTCAAAACCAATAGATATACTTATTACATTTATGATTATCAATATAATGAATACTTTAAATAATGGCTAATCTGCCCTGAGCTTTTAAATACATTTAATTTCAAGAAATTTGGTTTAGGGCCACCTCCCTTAGTTTTAATCCCACTCAGTCCACTGGATCCAATTTTCATCAAACCAATTTGACTACAAGAGCTACAAGGAATTATAAACAAGAATGAGAAAAATAGTACTCCTCTAATCATTCATACCCAAACATTGCAGCAACTACAACACTGACAATATTCAATGCAAATTAATGATTACATGATCACCATTATTCGCATGGAATATTATGAAAAAATTCAATTATTCTTAACTCAAAAAAGTTATTTCTTGTTCAAAAATTTCCACAGGATTCTGAATGAGCTGAGTCACAGATTGCACCAATTTTACAAGCTATTCCCAACCGAAAAAAGTGCCTTATTTCTTGATAAACAGCAAAACAACAGAAAATTAGAAGCTAGTATTCCTACCAAGAGTAAGCTCATACCAGCGTTGTCAATCTACTGCTAAGTGGGAACTTAATTTCTCATTACTAGCTGCCTGTTGCTATCAGTCCACTTCGTGCAAAATCTCTCAAAAGTAGAAGGTGCCAGAAAGAAGACACAATAAAAGCATTTAAAAAAATTCCCTGCCCTCATGCCTCACCAGGGTTGAGAAGTATCTGCCCTACATTGCAAAATCATAAAGATAAAACATGACTATAGGACAACAATTTCAGGGGAATAAGTAATTAGACAGCAGGCTATGAGCTAACATAATGGTATTCCATATCTGCATTGTGCAATTATTTAATTTTAGGATCTCTATCATTAATTTAATCTATCTTTCACAAATCAAACTAGTTGACGCACTAAAGCTTCAAAGAAATGTATAATTTTGCATCACTACCGAAAGTAATACAAAACAACACATAATTTGTATTTTGTAAACTTTTACCTTTGCTAAGCTGCACAGGCATGCTTTCAGACTTCATCATTCGTTGTTGCTGTTGTTGTTGTTGGGTATGTTCTACCATGGCTTTGTGGGAGGATGGGTGGGTTGCAGGATTGCTGCTGTAGTTCGTTCCAACTGGAAAACCACTAGTGCCACCAACTAAAATAGCTGGATTTATCAGTTTCCGTCCAAGGTTCATTAGGCTACTGGACACTTTATTGATGTTCAGGGGAGCAACCTTTGCTCCAGTGCTGCAAAATGATTTGAAAAGTTGAGGATTTAATGTATAAATTGCCATATTTAGTAAAAATATAGATATAAAATACACCTGTACACCTTGACGGCACTGAAAATCAATTTTAAAATTACGAGTGTATAAACGTAAGGTATAAATTAAAAAACATTCACAGCTTGGAAATACAAAATAACACTTTAAACAAAAGCACATCCCTGAAACATGGTACAATTTAAGATAAGTACGCAAAGACTAAATCAGAATAGTGACAACAGTGTCCTTGTGTGGGGGGCTGGTTAAAATGAAAAAAATTACCCTAAATTTTTGATGAAGCAGAGCCCATGCATTTCCTTACAAAGGAATAAGATGATAAGAATAGGTATATTGTATTGGAAACAGGTAGCAAATATTGATTAGGTGGAAAATAGCGTTAAGTTTATTGAACATAATGCACAAAGATAAGGGGAAATAAATGAAAAGGAAAGACACAAATGGTAAACCCTTTTCTTCAAAAATTATTTTTTCTAATATTTATTTGAGTTAACAGGTCTCAAGATAGCAGAACTTTGATCAAATTTGATAAATTTGGAAGTCAAAAGTCTATATGGTCAGGTCAGGTTTTAAAAGCAAAATATTCTGGAACCAAGCAGCAAGAAGGCTATTTTAGATTGATTGAAGTTCATGATACAGGATTAATTAAATGGGTACATAGGAAAGGATTCTCTAGATAGGAGTGATCATGGTAACAGTAATTAGTCATATGTTGAGAAATTTTGGTCTGAAACTAACATCTTAAAATTAAACGAAAGCAATTACAGAGTCGGCTGAAGTGGAATAGGACAAAAGGTGGAGAAGCAGTGGAATAGGACAAAAGG